GACCTTGGACCAGCAAGTAAGGCAGATGGAATGCTGATGGGCTTTTGCAGCTGTTCCTGGTGGACTAATCCAGGCTTCCCTTTGTGTAAAATACTTGGTAGTATTGGATCTACACCTCTCCTATTTTGATGCTTTTTAAGTTTCTTATCTGTGTGTCATTTTGGTGCCTCCTTGTGGGGAACTTTATTAATGACACCTATATTAACGGTAGTTATACAGACAATGATTATTAAACTAAAAGTTGTATTTTGCAGTGTGATATTTTATATTTTAAAGAAACATTTAAAATAATTTTATTGTGAGAATAATTTTTAGTTTCATGGTAAATCATTTAAATGGAGAGTTTTTTCATTTATTTACTAAATATTAAGTTTCTACTACGTGACAGGCAGTAGTCGTTAGGTACTTTTTGAAACATCAGTGAACAAACCAGACGATATTCCTGCTCCCTTTGGTGTTATATCCTAACAAGCAAGGCAGGCATAATAGTAATCGCACCGCGTGCCTTGTTAGATGGTAAGAGCTACCGAGAAGGAAAGCAGGGCAGGGAGGTGGGGTGCTGCAGGTGGGATGGCGTTGCAGCGGGAAGTAGGGGGTCAGGCGGGCCTCCCTGAGGAGGGGCATTCGGACAGAACCCGGAGGCGGAGTGTCTGGAGCAGGAACCGGGCCTGGGGTTCGAGAACATGGAGGTTCCTGTGACTGAACATGACGGTAAGGAAGTTGTGTGGACAGGCCCTATCTTTTTTTTTTAATCCTCACCCGAGGGCATGTTTTTACTGATTTTAGGGAGAGAGAGGGAGAGAGAAAATCGATGAGAGAGAGAAACATCAGTTGGTTGCCTCCTGCGTGTGCCCCGACCAGGAATCCAGCCCACGACCCTTGGGCCTGGGATGATGCTCCAACCAGCTGGACCCGGGCCAGGCGACGGGTTCCACCGTGTAGGCTTTTTCCTCCGATCTGCTGAGGGCTTTGGCTTTTACTCTGAAGTTGGAAACTCTTGGAGGATTTTGAGCAGAAGAGTGAACTGGTAGATGTTACATGCTTATCCTGACTGCCGTGGGGAGCATTCACTGTGGAGGGGATAGGAGTCCGGGTGGGAGGCGATGGCAGTGGTCAGCGCGAGCGACGTGCTGGCGGTAGCTGTGCCACGTGGTAGCCGAGGAGGTGGTGGCCGACGTGGGCAAATTTAACACTTTGAGAAATACAGAAAACTTGTAACAGTTTAATTTCATTTATTCTGTTTTTTGTGTTAGTCTTGTCATATGTTTTATATTTATATGAATGGTTAAGCCATACAGGTCATTGCTACGGTTGCTTTAAAAATCCATATTAACTTACATTCACCTCTACATTCCTTTCTATCGCTTCCTCTCGTTCTGAGCTTCCGTCTGGGGTCACCTTCCTTTAGCTGATGCGCTCCCTGCAGTTGCAGGGGGTTCGCAGCTTTTGTTTGTCTGAAGCTCGTATTTCATCTTCGGGTTTGGAGGGTTTTTCTCTGTGGAACTCTAGGTGGGTTGGTGTATTTTCTTTAAAGATGTCACGTTATTATTTTCTGTTTCTATTGTTCCTGATAAAAAATGGATTGTTAGTTGTATTGCTGTCACCCTCAGATAATGTGTTGTATTTTCCCGGGCTGCTTTTACGGTTTTCTCGTTGACTTTGGTTGTTTAGGGCTTTGACTCTGATGTTTTAGATTTTTTTTAATCATGCTGAAGCTTGTAGAGCTTCCCACGTTGGCTAGGGACTCATGTGTTGTTAGCTTTGGAAAACTCGTTAACCATTATTCTTCACACATTATGGACGCTTCATTTTCTCTGCTTCTATAACTCCAGTTAGATGTACATTATATTAGACCCATCTTTTACGTGTCCTTACACTTTTTTTGTATTTTCCCTACTTTCTCTGGGCATGTCATGTGCTTCTGTATGTATGTTTTCAATTCACCAATCCTCACTTTTGCTCAAACTAAACTCCTTTGTTCTTAATCTCAGTGATACTTTTCAGGTCTGGAATTTCTGTTGGACTCTGAAGAATCCTAGGACTTTGCTGAAATTCTCCATCTCTCGTGTTTGTTTTCTTGAACATACCAGTCACGGTTATTTTGAAGTCTCTCCGATAACTCCAACATGTGATGGCCAGTGTGTCTTTTTCTAGTTTTTATTTCTCATGGTTGTCCATTTACTCACTTTTTTAAAAACTCAAATTAAATTTGTCATTTTAACCCTGTGAAGTATATAATTCAGTGGATTTTGGTATATTCACAGTTCTGAGCAGCAGTCATCCCTACCCCAAATTCCAGAATATTTCCATCACCCCAGACGAGTTGGCCATCAGTGGCTGCTCGTGCCCCAGCATCGAATCTGCAGCCTGAGTTTTGTCTCTGGCTTTTACCTGTTCTGGACATTTCATATCAGTGGGGCTGTACAGTGTGAGTCCGGCTTCTTCCACTTACATAGTGTTCCCAAGGTTTGTGTGTAATGTGTGTCCGTTCTTCACTCGGGTTTGTGACTGAATCCTGTTCCGTTGTAGGGGTATGTGCAGCACATTCTGTTGTCCATCATCAGTTGATGGACGTTAATTCCCCCCCTACTTTTTGGCCATTATGAATAATGCTGCCATAGCATTGTGTACGAGTTTTATGTGAATGTATTTCTTCAATTCTCTTGGATCTATACCTGGAGTAGAATTGCCAGATCACGTGGTAACTGTTTCACTTTGTGAGGAATTGCCAAATGGTTTCCCACCGCGCTGTCCCGGGTACAGTCCCAATAGCATTTGTGAGAGTTTCGTTGTCTCCGCAGTTGCCCGTACTTGTTACTTCCTGTAGTTTTTTAAGTTGTTACAAGCATCCTAATCGGCGTTGGCCACTTAGTCTTGTTGTTAGTATGCCTTGTAATTTTTAATTGAATGCCAGGCATTACGAATGAACAGTTGTAGGGATTCCATTTGCTGTTTTCCTCTGAGTTAAGTTTCTTTGGTGGGCGAAGCACTAGGGGATCCCCTGGAGCCTTTTGAGGTTCCCTCTATGACGTTTAGGGTTGATCTACTTCCGTTTTGACCTTAATCTGTGGCGAAGGCTTTTTGGACGTCTCAGGAGAGAGCGTGGGTTGTTTATGGAGGCCCTTCTACCTTGGTGGGGCCTCAACCGCAATCTCTGCCCCCCTCGTCCTGGGCAGAGGCTAAAACCTCTGCTCAGCCCTCGCGCTCCCCAATTGCTGTTTTCTTGAACCCCCGCTCTGGTTCTTTAGTCTCCAGCTCTCTGGTCCCCAGACTGACTGTTTTCCACTCAGTGCAGTGAGCCTGCCCCTTCCCACGGGTGCTCCATACTTTCCCGTTTCACAGCCGGGCAGGGAGAGCCGGGTGGGGAGAGATGGGTGGGGAGAGCCAGGCCGGGAGAGCCGGGTGGGGAGAGCCGGGTGGGGAGAGCCGGGTGGGGAGAGCCTGCAGCTGAGCTGGCTCCCCTCTTTGCAGGCCCAGCCCCCCTGTCTCTGCGGGCCTTGCTCTCACATGTGTCTGGATAACCTCTATTAGCAGGAGGGCTAGAGAGAAGCTCTCTTACTATGATGGGAACTGCAATCCTTACATTGTATGAGTTGAGTCACAGGAAAGTGAAAAACTGATCCCTATTGAGAGTGAGAACATGAATTTTCAATAGGAAATTGGATATGACAATAGGAGGAAGGACTTTTATTTTCACGCGAGGGTCCAGGTCAGCCATATTTGAAGGATGATAAAGGATACTTCAAAATTAAGAAGATGTGACACTGAGTTGATATTTGGTAATTTTTTTGAAAATGGAACAAGATCATTAAGTGTTTTAAGAATTTAAGATGAGAATTAAAGAGAAAATACTGGATGAAGCGCACTTCTACTTGGATTCGGTAGTGAAGAGGCGGAGATGGTGAGTGCTGAGTGAGTGCTGTTGGAGCAGCACCTGGCTGTTTTTGGCTCGTTGGTGACTGTCACTGCAGGTGGAGAGCTGGAGCTCCCGTGTGAGGACTGAACAACAGCGTTCGGGGGGGGGGGGGGGGGGGGTGGTGTGCACAGTGTCTGGTGGTGCAGACCAAGTCACTCACTGGCTGTCGGAAACTGGAGCAGTGGGATGACTGGTGATAGGAGTAGAGGCTGTGCCTAGGGCACAGAGAAGTAGGGGAGGAAGGCCGCCATCGGTCTGAAAAAGTACTGCCCTGTCCTCCTGCTTACAAAGCGGGGTTTGGAGAGAAACTGACCATTTGCTTTCCCATCACACTGTCCCCAGAAGGGCGGCAGGCGGTCTCTGTGTTCCTGCGCCCTTGGTGAACTCTCAAGGTCAGGCAGTGATTTCTCCACACTTTCATTAGGACGGTTGCCAGAGGCGTCCTTCGGCGGCAGCTGCCTCTCCCCGTGGAGGCCATCAGTAATGCTCCGAGCTGGGAGCAGGGGCACAGCCGTGCGGGCTGAGTGCTGAACGCAGCCTGGGCGGGTGAAAGCTTTTCCCCGCCAAAACCACTTCCCCTCCAAACACCGGAAAGTATATTGCATTTTGGGTCTTCTAGTTCTTTAATAATTTTTTGTTACTGTTTTTTTTTTTCCCAGGTAAAATTCATCATTAATAGTAAACACATCTAAATATATTTATAATGAAAGGATACTTAATTTTTAAAACAATTTAAATAACAACAATGGACACATTAGAGATCCTTACACATAATAAATGGAAATTCTTTTTGTATAGAATGTTAGAATGTTTATTTTCATCATTGAGATTTTATAAACTAAAATATACTTGTATTGTGTTCTTGTGGTCTGAGATGGACAGGTGATATATTCATGCTAATGATATTGTGAAATTTGGGGAGTATATTAAATATGTTACTAAGCCCATGACTAAAATGCATTTAAACAAATTGAAATGCATTTGTTTTTGCTCCTGTTTAATAATATAGGCAACTGCTATCCCACATGCACCTTGACTGTATCGAGTCTGACTTTGTCCTGTTTCCTACCCTGTCTTCTCACAGCCACCCACCCAGAATATGCCTCTGGGCCCAGGAGGGATGAACCCGAGCGGCGCCCCGCCCCCTCCGCGCGCTCACAACATGCCTTCAGACGGGATGGTCGGCGGGGGGCCCCCTGCGCCCCACATGCAGAACCAGATGAACGGCCAGATGCCGGGTAAGGTTTTCTCCTCGAAGACATTAACACCAGAGTTGCTTAGCAACTGAAACGACATGGGGGCCCCCGGGATCCTAGATTGTTGATGACAAAACTGCTCCGAATGCCCCCGAGTCCGGGCTCTGAGAGTTTGTTAGCTGCCGAGCTACGTGACCTGTATTCAGTGTTTACCAGGCCGCCCTGGGGCTCGGCTGGCGCTGACACGCAGCTGCCTCTGATGAACAGAGCTGCTAAATTTAGTCCTGGAACCGGGCGGGAGGGCTGCTGGCGGAGCTTTCTGGAAGAACAAGGCATGGTGCCATGGCTAAAGCACTGAGGTCTGTTTATGCAAAGGTGTCCTAACATTTGCCTGAGTTTTGTATTAAAAATGTCTTGGTCTCAGAAACAGTGATCCTGGAGCCACATGGGGAAAGAAACAAAGCCGTCTACAGGCTAAGGCAGCTCTCCTCACTGCTGGGGAAGCTGTACAGACAGATGTGTGTGTTTATAACATGATACGGACACGGACAGTGATGTTACAGCCAAATTAAAGGCTGAGAAATAATGTCAGCTTTCTTATGTCATGAGCCATTTCCTTTACCATTTGCTCATTTTAAGTTCAGAGGCACTTAGGATATATTTCCGGCCATTGGTGCTTATTTGATTCCCTTTTGCTGGTTTGAATTTTTCATCTGAAAGGTATCTTTAAACTTTTTTGTTTTTTAACAGCCATAGCCCATGACCATAATTTTTGGTGGGGTGTTTTCTACAGTTAATATGAGAATATTTTTACTTTCTAATGACAGGTTATTTTCATTAACAAAGGAAAGTATCATACAAATAGCAGTAATGAAAGTAAATGAAAATAACAGAACACTTTATTTTTAAAATTAATAATTAGCATCCTTAGGAGCATGTCCTCTTAGTGGTTGTGTTGGTTGGCAGCTTTGGTGAGCGGGGTGAGGGGCAGATAATGAAGTGAAAGGGCAGCGAGCGCAAGAGGACGGTCCATAGAGGGCTGACGGGGATGGGGGTAGGTGGCCATGGGGCCTTCTTCTATTTCCCGCCACAGCCAGTGCCCACACGCCCACACTGATAGGAGGCAGGAGTACAGATGTGACTACTTCTCAGGTTGTAGTCGGGAGGAATCGTTTTGCTGAATCCACATTTAGTTCGTCAGGACCCAGTATGTTTAAAACTGGGAGAGGTAGCAAGTTAGACGTTTGTGATTTATTTTATTTTTAATTTTGGATACCTTTAGTTAGGATTTTGACTTTTCCATATAACATTCAGGCCTTAAATCCGAAGAAGCAGGTGAGCGGCGATGTAATTATTGTTAACATGATGTTTTGGTTTGTGTGTAAGGCCACCTGGAGTAGTGACTGTCTTTACAAGCCAGAGATTCTCAGCTGGTTATGACCTGGGCTGGCAGAACACTGCGCATCTTCCAAAACAGTGTATTGATAGAGAGCTGGATTAGGTGGAGGAGGAGTTAGAAGTCCGATTACTCGTATTTTCTTTATTTAATAAGTTCTTTAGCGCATTTAGCCAACTGTTCTATTCACACACATTTCTATCTAGGCTTTTACTATTTTAGTTTTGTTTTTAATATTTTGTCTAAGTTGCAGAACTATTTATATGCTGCTTGTTCTTGGTCAAATAAGCTCAGTCTCAGGTTTCTTTGGTAAAAATTAACTGATTTTTAAAAAAAGGATAGTCCAGGCCTCTGGTACCCAGATCAGAAGGTATCAGAAGGCACAGTCTCTGCCTCAGCCGGCACTGTGTGCCGGGTGACTGGTGTCTGGTTGTCCTTCACCAGGTGCTCTCTGTGTATAAAACCTCCTGTTCTTATTCCAGAAACAGTAGCATGCATTAGGTAGTTAATGTCGTTTTTCCCCTCTTAACGGTGTATCTTGGAGATCATGAGAATGTAAAGGTCTCTTTTCGAGACCACTCAGCATCTAGGGCTGCCTCATTCTTCTTGATGACGCATTGCCCTCTTTTCTATGGACGCCTCTGATTTACGTGAGCAGATCCCTTCTGGTGGAAGTACAGGTTATTCTTTTAGTATTAAAAATTACGCTGCTGCGGACATGTCTAAAATATAAGAAAACAAATAAGTGAACACACTATTTTGTGTGTGTACACACAGGCACACAAAACAGCTTGTATATTTATAAGATAAATTCCTAGAACTGAAATTGCTGAGCTAAAGTTACATGCATTTTCATGTATACATTCCCTGAACAATGTATGAAGGAACTTCTTCATCATAGTTGGCTCAAAACTTTTATCTTTGCTAGTCTGCAAGATGGAAAGTGGGTCCCCTAGTTTTCACGTCCCTTTTTACATTATAAGCGAAGCAAACAGTCTGCTGTGTTTATGGCTCCTGTGGTTTTTGTGTGAGCTGGTCATTCGTGTCCTTTGCCCTTTCATTTGCTGCCGGTGGTGTTTTACTAGTTTGGTCTGTGATAGGACTTACTAAAAATTTTTCCCAGTTTATATTTCTATTATTTAATTTTGGTTTTGGTTGTTTTGGTCTTGTTCAATTGTTTTATTTTCATGTAGTCTAATTTATCAATCTGTATGACTGGATTTCCTGGCAAACTTAAGAAGGCCTTTCCATTTCATTATTTTAAAAATTTTCCTTTCTAAAATTTTCTTTCATGGTTTCTTTTCTTTTCCTTTCTTCTTTCTTAATGTTGAATTTTTTAGTCATCTGGAATTAGTCTTCATGGAAGTGATGTGGCAGGAATCAACTTGGTTTTTTCCAGGTGGCTACTCAATTGTCACAACATCATTTATTGAATTACCTTCCTTTTGTCCACCGATACTTAGTGTCACCATTGTCATTATTTACTGAATTAGCATTTGGGCCTCTTTTTAGATTCTGCTCTGGGTTCATTGATCTTTTAGTTTATTTATGTGCTAATGCTACAATTTTTTCCTTAATGAAATTTAACTTTCATTTTTTTTTTCTTTTTTTAAAAATATTTTTATTGGTTTCAGAGAGGAAGGGAGAGGGAGAGAGAGATAGAAACATCAGTGATGAGAGAGAATCATTGATCAGCTGCCTTCTGCACGCCTCCTACTGGGGATCGAGCCCACAATGCGGGCCCTTGACTAGAATTGAACCTGGGACCCTTCACTGAGCCAAATCAGCTAGGGCGAATGCTACACACTTTTAATTCCACCAACTTTATTTTTTGTTCTCTTATAAAATTAGTCCTCTCTCATTTCTCTTTTTCAGGATATTTTTGGCTATTCAAAAGAATTGGTTTCTTAATCTGTAAAATGGGAATAATAACATTCACCTCACAGTATCTGCTATCATTCATGTAAAGCATTTTCTTAGTTTACTATTGATTAAATACTAAAGTTTTGCTTGGTATTATTACTATGGTAATGCAAAAAAAACCCCCAAAAAATGTTAAGGTCCTTTTATGCAGACCCTCTGTCTAACTTTCGTATTTTGGTTTTGACCACTTTCTTCAAAGGGCCCAACCATATGCCTATGCAGGGGCCTGGGCCCAGCCAGCTCAACCTGACCAACAGCTCCATGAGCATGCCCGCCAGCAGCCACGGCTCCATGGGCGGCTACAGCCACGCGGTGCCGTCCTCCCAGAGCATGCCCGTGCAGAGCCAGATGACCATGAGCCAGGGCCAGCCCATGGGGAACTACGGCCCCCGACCAAACATGAACATGCAGCCCAACCAAGGTAACGAGCTGTGTGTCTTTCTCACTCGCGTGCGGCATCAGCCTTGAAAAGAAAACAAAACTTTCAAGTTGTTCGCTGATGTATAAAAATGTAAGTTGGATGTCAGTAGCAATTAAAAGGAATGTTGAGTTTGACATCAGCTTAAAATACTCTTATTTTTTACATTTAGAAGTTAAGTTGCTTAATTTCACTTTTTATGTAAGCTTATTTATTTTTATGTCTTTGATAGTTTATTTGAGATGCTGTATTTTGGGATTTTTAAAAAAAGTTAATGAATAACTTGAACGCTAATCAATGAAAGCTTTAGAGCTAGAAAATTGAGAAAATAGAATTTTATTGTTGTGAGTACAACCCTTAACAATTCACCTACTCTTTGGTTCATTTTACCTGTGAAGGATATATTAATTTGTATGGATTTCCCTTGATTTACATGGATGTTTTCTGATGCCGAGTTTCAGCATGTCAAGGTAATTGTCACATAATTTGTTACTACAGCGTTGAGTGGAGGTGCTGCTCTCTTCTTGCATTAGACTGGTGTGAAGTCTATTAGCGTTTATTACAGTCTCAGAGAATGGAATTGTTACCATGTTTCTCTTTTAAGTATTCTTGTGAATAATAGCTAGAAACCGGTAAGTGGCGCTCTGTTCTGCTAATTGCCTGTTAAACATGTGGCATATTGCCAGCCTAAAGCTTTCTCAATTATGAAATGTGGTGAGGTTACGAGTATAAGATAGATTTCATGTATTTGCAATAACATTTTCTAGATTTTGATTACGATAAGTCACTAAAGTGAATTCAGATAAAGGAAGTCAGTGTTAATCTTTGGTAATTCTTTGTGATGAAATAATATATTCTAAATTTTAAATATTAATACAAGATATTTTATGTCATTTTGATGAGGTGTACTGAAAACAAAGGGAGACAAAGGGTAAATTGTCAGTGAAAGCAGCTGCACAGAACTGGTGCTGGCTTCATTTCTCTCCCAAGTGCGGTGCTCGGACGGGGTATGGCTCCTCTTGGCTCCTCTTGGCTCCGGTGGGTCCGGCGGGTCAGGTGGAGCTCCGCGGTCTCTCCGTCCAGCTGCAGCCAGGAGACGGCACAGAGTTGACAGCGATTCTGACAGCAGCCACAGTCAGGTTGACACACTTCTTAGAAACTAGCTGAGAAAAGTTAGAGTGTACCCAGAAAATGGAGGCTGTTGCAGTAGAGGTTGCTATGATAAAAGGTTTGAAGAAGAATGAAATAATGCTTGCAGCAATATGGGTGTAGGAGAATAGTTACTGTTTTTGGTGAAAGGAGTTGTATTCATAGAAATTGTTCATTTCAAACTTAAGGACCGACTATTCTTTTTTTAAAAATGTCATCTTTTGTACTAATGTGTAGTTTTTTCTTTTACTATAATTGTTAACATTATTTTTTGCTTTGTTCCCATAATTTATGAATTTTGTAATAGAAAGAAGACTTCAGAAAATGACTATCTAGGGATCTGATTTAAGGAAATATAAGTTACTTTTCAAAAGGGAGATTAGGATGGAAATAAGTGAAGAAATTTTCAATGTATTAAAAAATCTCTTCAGGAAAAATAAAATACTTTCAGTTAAGTTTTGATATTTTAGAATCAAAGAAAATTATAATTACAACAAAAAATTATACTAGGTTTTAGCAATGTCTACTCTCAATCATGAAGAAATAAGTGTCAGTAACTAAAGTTCTTGATACTTATGTTTTAATACTTTTTAATACATTCATGAGAATATTTCTAGAACTTTCATGTTATAAAAATTTCTCTTTTAATGAACTGCCCCAATTTTTACTATGGAAAATCTATCATGGTTATAAGTTTCATTGGTTGCTTTGAAATTCAGCTAAGTTGTACTAGTTGTAGTGACTTTACTAAGCTTTTAAGAGTTTTCTTAGTTACTTGACTCTTGTTTTTTATTTTTGTTTTTGTATTTATAAATGTCTTATTATAATTGTGTGTTTGGGGGGTTATCCTATATAATAAAAGCCCAATATGCTAAGTGTCCGACTGTTCGTTCGACCAGTCGCTATGACATGCACTGACCACCAGGGGGCAGGCGCTCCGACCAGTAGGTTAGCTTGCTGCTGGGGTCTGGCCAATCAGGACTGGGCGAGACAGGCTGGACACGCTCTGGAGCCAACCTCCCGCGGTCCTTCCTGGCCAGCTAATCTCCCGCAATCCCTTCCTGGCCTCTAAAATATTACTTCTAATTAATTTCCTTTCAATGTGCATGAATCCGTGCACCGGGCCTCTAGTATGACAAAAAGATTTTTTTATTTCTCATAAGATGTTAATATATATGAGCAAGATCATGTGCATGTTTTGTGTTTCTCCAGGTCCAATGATGCACCAGCAGCCTCCTTCCCAGCAGTACAACATGCCCCAGGGTGGTGGGCAGCACTACCAGGGCCAGCAGCCGCCCATGGGGATGATGGGCCAGGTCAGCCAAGGCAGTCACATGATGGGCCAGAGGCAGATGCCGCCCTACAGACCGCCCCAGCAGGGTAAGGGCCCCGCTGGGAATGGCCGCGACATAGAAGTAACAGTTGGGAGGCTTTCCATGTAGTGAACTTGTCATCCAGGCTAAGTTAGGGCTTGTATTTCTAGACCGGAGGCCCGGTGCACACATTTGTGCATGGGTGGGGTTCCTTGGCCTGGCCAGCGATCGGGGCTGATCGGGGCTGTCTCGCCCAGTCCCACTCGGGGCTGATCGGGGCCGGCCAGCCTGGGGGAGGGACCATGGGAGGTTGGCTGTGGGAGCGCACTGACCACCAGGGGGCAGCTCCTGCATTGAGCGTCTGCCCCCTGGTGGTCAGTGTGCATCATAGCGACTGGTTGACCGGTTGTTATAGCGACTGGTTGACCGGTTGTTCGGTCGACCGGTCATAACGGTCACTTAGGCTTTTATTTATTTATATATATATGGCTTTTTTTTCCATTATAAAAAAGGGAAAACATAAGACTCTTTTATTGTTGTTTGTTTGCTACATGACACACACATACATACGTATATATATATAAATAATTAAAGAAAACACCACTGAATATTTTTTTCCTGAGAGGTAGTGGGTACAGTAGGTACAAAGGGTTACAAATTGGGTAGGAACTTCCTGGTATTCAGCTTTCCTTTAATCTTTTCTGGGAAAAGATTACATCATAAAATTTTATATCAAAAGCTTATTTACAGCAGAAAATACTATTTTATTGTTGAGAATGTACTAAATTATATGGTCAGAAACAAACCCTAATTTATTTTAAACTGCTGTAATATCAAAATAAAAAGGAAATTAATTTTCTACTAGTTTGACACTTTTTAAGAAGTTAGTGTTTGTGTTTTTGAGTTGGTATTGCTTGATATTGCATGCATGGCCTTACCATCAGTTGTTGTGAAATGTGTGTGCTGTTGGCTGTGTGTCTGTGTGTGCGCATAGAATAGTTAGAAGTATACGAACGCCAGCGCTTGGGAGGGGACTCGACAGCAGAGGAACAGACTCCCGAGACAGGTCAGGAAGAAGCCGTTGGTGCCCGAGAACCGATTGCTGACGTCTTGCCCTGTTGTGGTTTGCAGGCCCGCCCCAGCAGTACTCTGGCCAGGAGGACTATTACGGGGACCAGTACAGCCACGGCGGACAGGGTCCTCCGGAAGGCATGAGCCAGCAGTATTACCCTGATGGTAATCCCCCTGACGCTCACTCCCATGTCTGTCCCTGCCCTGTGTTACTGTAGGAAGCCATCCAGCATCACGTGTGGCTGAAGGAACTAACGGTGTGCTGCGTCTCATTAAGCACCAGTAGTCTCAGCATCAGCCACAGCGCTGGGTCTCCTGTTGCAGAGTCTGTCTCGTGTAGCTGTCCCGCAGCAGTGCCGTCGGGCCACGCTCTGTTAGTGCCATCCTTTCAGAAAGGAGGATCCTTTTATGTTTGAGTTGTTCCTTTGAACCAAAACTGACGTTATCGATTTACCTTTTTAAATAACAGCTTTATTGAGATAGTTCATATACCAGAAAGTGCACCTCTTGGTTTACTTTTATGCGTTGTATACTATAAATGCATAGACTTCCTCAAGTTTTTTTCTGTTTCATCATTTTAGTTGATGTTGCGTGCTTCTTAAAGAACTATGGTTTGTATACAGTATCATTTGCATTTGAGGAAACATTTGGAGGCTAAATTATACCCAGAACATAGTTGTATATAGAGTTAGTGGAAAAGGAAAGGTATTTAGAAAACAAAGTTCATTTTAGGTATTTAGTTTAATGGCGTACTTTTTAGTTGGAAGGCGGCCTTGCGAGTGGCCAGTAGAGATGGCCGCACTTGGTGGCCAGCCCCGGGGCCTGTCGCTGTCCCGCGCAGCCTTCCCGGCTCCTGCTGGCCTGGCAGGCTCGCAGGCGGCGGTGACGGGGAGGGAGTCCACACACAGACGCGGTCCCGCAGAGGGGCTCCCACGTCACAGAGCGATGGGTCTTGTCAGCCAAGGGTTTGCGACGTCTTCACTGACGTAGTCTGCTCCCGGGGTGGATTCGAGGTAAACGCTTCAAAAGAGAAACTAGGGAAGCTAAGAATTACAGCTGAAGTGTTGGGACCATGAACTGGAAGCCGATGCAAACGAGCAAGAAGATACCATTTGGTGTCTGAGAAATCATTTTGCCGCCACGTTTCATCAGAGTGAACCCTGAAGGCACGTGGTGGCGGGAGTGGGTTCCGCGGAGGCTTGGCGTGCGGGCCCAGCAGCGCCACCTGCACAGCTGCACGCAGCGCCTGTGTGGGTGCGGGTATGTGTGGTGATTCTGGCTAGAAAGTGACTTCTTTTTTTTTTTTTTTTTACCTCAGGGTTTCTTGCCCCAAATTATTCAGAGTGTTGTGGTTTTTAGTTTTACATGTAGACATTGTATTAAGTAATTTCTTAGACTATAGTTATTTTAAAAAGGTGAAATCTAGGTTCTTAAATTTTATTAGGAAGTTTGCTGAATATAAATGATTGGTTTGTTTAACTTTTAAAATATATTTTAAGTAATTGAGTTGAATTTGGTACTGTTAGTTTGGTTGGCCCTGAGTATGTCCTGAAATATGAAATTTGTATTGTTATAAATAGGATCTTTCTATACAAAATAGACGTTATTTTTGTAAATATCAGAACTTTAAAGTTCTATAAATAATACATCTTATTTCATTGGGATTTAAAATGTTATCTGGTATCATTTTGCATAGGTGTGTATTAATATGTTCGTCTCACATTTACATAGATTCTTTGTTCTATTTACAATGACTAATTCTCTTAGACATCATTAGATATTTTCTTACTCTGTTTAGTTTTTATTTTTTAAAAATATTTTTATTGATTTCAGAGAGGAAGGGAGAAGGAGAGATAGAAACATCAATGATGAGAGAGAATCATTGATTGGCTGCCTCCTGCACGCCCCCTACTGGGGATCAAGCCTGCAACCCAGGCCTGTGCCCTGTCCGGGAATCAAACCGTGACCTCCTGGTTCATAGATAGATGTCCATCCACCGAGCCACCACGGCCGGCTCTTCCTCTGTTTAGATCTTTAGGCCGTAAACATGTCGATTGGGAGCTGGCAGACTTTCTCTGTAAAGAGCCAGAGAGGAAATCTTTTCGTCCTTGTGTGCCACATGCTATCGATCTCAACCGCTGGACTCTTGTCGCAGCAGGAGAACGGCTGTAACTATAAGCAGGCAGGCGGGTTAGACTGCGGGCCCGGTTTGCTGACCCTCAATTCAGATATTGATGAGATGGTGTAGGAACGTTGGATCCTAGAGCCCTGAGTATAACACTTATTCATAACTGTGTTCCTCCTCCCTCAGTTAGGGAGTCCACTGAATCGTAGCTCAGACCTTCGCCAGCTGAAAGGTTATTCCCTGCATTTCTTTGCAATTTGATTCAAAGGACTAGAGTATCGATCTTCACTCAACTCCAGTCATCTTATAGGCGAACTTTATCGTGTCTTAAAAGTAAAGGTGTACTCCACTTAATACAGTATTAACTTCATCGAGGTGTATGTTTATGTTACCCTAGAAATATTTCCTGTGGGCTTCTAGAATGGCAGCATTAAGCATTATATTTTTGCATCTAGAAATATTTTGAGATACTGTATTTTATTCAAGTAAATAGAGTGTGAAAAATTTGTTTCAGTTTTTTTTCAGGGGAAGAAATTTATGGAGCTCTTTTGTATTTTACATTATTTAGCATATGCTGTGGCATTGGCACCCAGAACTGGTGTTTGACAAAATATGATAATTGTTTCCTTTGTTTATTGGAATTTAATTCAAGTTATTTACATGTGAAAGGCCTAAATGCTTTCATTCTCTTTAAAAAAATGGAAGATAAAGTTTTCCTCTCCTCAAATGAGGATTATCCGAGTTAAGACTAAGGGTAATGTTTTTAAAACTACTGTTTTTTGCTTTTAAGAAAACTTGAAAGTTATCTCGATCTGAAAACAATCACGTTGGTAAATATTTGGCTAATGCAATTGAAATTATTTTTTATGTATTTCCATTTCTTTCTCTCTTTTTTTCAGTTTTATCTGAAAGTTTAAATATATTTAGGGTTTTCACTCAGTGGCCATTAACGTTTCTCCCTGTCTCTTGTCGAATTGATGTAGGTCATAATGATCACGGTTATCAGCAACCGTCGTATCCTGAGCAAGGCTACGATAGGCCTTACGAGGATTCCTCACAACATTACTACGAAGGAGGTATCGCTATACCTTCACACGTGCACACACACGCCCTCCCACAGGAACCCGCAGCCTTGCCTAGGCCTCCTCCCGTGCACAGCTCTCTCTCGTAGAGCAGTAGCTGCTGCCTGTCTGGAGAGTTACAGGGAGCCCAGGCCCACCGGGTCATCTCCGTGCAGATATTTACCATGTGTAACCATGACCCGCCATTTCTAACAACAGTAAAAGGACTAAAACGGTTACAAGTAGTTGCTTCCCCAGTGGAGGTTTTCTCTCTGAACACAAACCCAGCTCTCCAGTGTCGTGTGTGTGTCCCACATGTATGGTCTCCCCTACAAGTGTAGTGCCGTAGGAAGCAGCTTGCTGACCTCGTGTAGCTGGCGTGTGCTCTCGTAGTGTCTTTAATTCTGTCTTTTTATTTTATTTAGCTTAGTCATGACCTCTGACTGTGACGTTCCAGTCAATGTAATGCTCGTATGGCAGAGGCGCTGGAAATGCTGCAGTTGAACCTTGCAAATTGGCTTTAACTGCAGTGTGTTTGGCCGAAACCCTTCTGTTTGGTTTGAGTTTTTTCTTTGTTTTGTTAACTTTAAAAAATCAGTATGGCATTTTATTTTGTTCTTGTGTTGTTGGCTCTGCATCTTAGAGGAAAGAGCTCGTTAAGCCGACTTCTCAGTTTCCCCCTCTTCTCCCCTCCCTGCAGGAGGCTCGCAGTACGGCCAGCAGCAGGAGGCCTACCAGGGCCCGCCTCCCCCGCAGGGCTACGCGCCACAGCAGCAGCAGTACCCGGGCCAGCAGGGCTACGCCGGCCAGCAGCAGGCCTACGGTGAGCCGCCCTCCGCTCTCAGCTCCGGAGCATGGGTGTTGGCCATTTCTGAAAAGTCACAGTTCTGCCTCAGTCTAGCGGTGTCCAGATAACGTGCTCTTAGATAAACTGCTAACCTATTTAAAAAGAAACAAACTAGAGATGATTCAGTTACCACAGGAATGCCCTGGAGCCATGCACAGGGCAAGGCGTAGGGACCCGGACCTGCTGTGCTCACGGCCAGCGCCAGCTCTGACGGGCCTGGACACCCGATGGCGTGGTTGTTCACTGCCCTTGTCTACACAGTCCACTGAGCAAGTCTGTTCCGACAACTGGTGGCTGTTGTAACTGTTCTTAATTTTTGGAGGACCCGCCAGACTGCTTTCCAGAGCGCTGGACCGGTCTGCGCTCCCACCAGCAGGGAGGGAGGGTCCCTTTCTCCACAACCCCAGTATCGCTTGCCTTGTTGGTAACACCCCTCTAGCAGGCAGGAGGTGGTATCTCATTGTAGTTTTGATTTGCATTTTCCTGGATCATGTATCATAGAAATGTACACTTGAAACCTATATGATCCTATTAACTAATGTCACTCCAATAAATGTAATTAAAAAAACTAGTGACCGTTACTGTGGAAGATAATACTGATTTTTAAAGTACAAATGTGGTCTGCTCAGAATGCTTACAGAAAGTACCCTCCATTCGCTCCCGGCGACACCCACATCCGCAGGGTGCAGTGACTGCAGCTGTGTGTCCTGCGAGGTAGCTGGTGTCGGCCTGTGAGGAACTGGGCTCGATACGGAGAGACAGTGACGAGGAGCCGAGACCTCAGCCTTCAGTCTCAGGCGACTGTAACAATGTTGGAAATAGGAGACTACAGTTTCAGGGAAAGCAGTAGCTGTTACTAATTTGACATCATCTAGCTAATATGGCCTCTTTCTTCCATCAGTGATGCCTTCTTTCTGTTGATGGATGTCAGCGCTGCTGTCACTCCCGCACCTCCACCGTGACAGCAAACCTAGGAGCCAGGGTCGCTGGCAGCCCTCTGGCTGCCTTCAGACGGCACTGAAGCTCAGGCAGGTGTGGGAGGCAGGCGTTTCCCCACATGCCAAGTTCTGGTTTCTCCGTTTCACACCTGACTTGAGAATGTCCCAGGGATTTCCTGGTTTTACAGAGAGACATTCTTACTCTTCTCAAATGGAAACATTTAATGGCCATTGAGTATTTGTACTTTGAATAAATAGAGTGTTCTGGTTTTATTATATTTGCATGAAACACATACGTGGCTAAATCAGATAAATGTATTGATTTAAGAGCAATAATTGTTTTCAATGGGAAGAGAGGGTAAAGAAAGTTAAATGTTTTTAGTTCAAGTAGCTAACCATGGTTTTGTTAGATGTCAGGAACCCTAAAGAAGTTCCCATTTTGCTTATCCAGAGATTCCAGTTATCAAACTTTCTTCTAATAGAAAATTTAGAGTTTTAATAAGTGGATGTATAGCGACATCAGTAAAATAATAGGCTGATGTCATTTATTTAAGCCTGAAAATGTATTGTTCTCTTTGGCACTTTCCTCTGCAATTGATGTTCTCATGACAGGTTTTGAAAGGCTGTGGTAGAAACATGTGTAAGTACCAGAGCTTTTTAGCTTCTGCTTTAGAAAGCATGCTTTGCAACAGATAATGGTAGAGTTTACGAAATAGACATATTTGTTTGGTCAGCCTAATTAGTCCCTTGTCATCTTTGACGTTTGAAATCATGCGTTTTTGTGGGTTGGGTGTTAAAGGTGGTGGGCACACGGAGTGTGATCTTGGATCAGGCTTCCCACATGCAGCTTGTAGCTTCCCAGCCTTCTTTACTTTGTCAGGACACTGTGACAGTGAGCGCGTCAGAGCAGAGCAGAGCTCTCCTTTGGCGATTGCCAATATAAGTCGAATTCTACATGTAAGATCATTCCTTTTGATTCTCCTGGTTATTGCACGTACACATTAGAGTTACACAGCTGTAAATATCATGATTCCCAAACTGTTCAGAAATGGTTCCAGTATTTTAGTTTGAATCTGCTTCTCGCCTTTTCTTTTATCTCTTGCTTATACTGGTTAACTTTCTCATAAAATAGGTGCTTTTATGAGCACTTTGAACACATCCAGGTGAACATTCTTAGCCTAGAATGAACTGCCTTCCAACTCCTGAATCTCTTACTCATCTTGACATATACATTTTTAATGGCTGATGCAGAACACAATAGTTACACTGAATCAAAGCCCCTGGTATGGAGTGGCATCCTTAAATGACTTTCACTCTTATTATAACCTTTGGAATTTATTTCAAAAAGCATTTGAGAAAATCAAGATTCCAAACTACCCTTTTTAGCTTAGATATAAAGTACAGCCCCTCGTTCTAAACGCTTCTGGAGTTCTGGGAGTGATGTTCACCTGTGCGCTTGTTTATGCTGATTATTTTGCAGGTCCTTCCCAGGGCGGGCCAGGCCCTCAGTATCCGAACTACCCGCAGGGTCAAGGGCAGCAGTACGGGGGGTACAGGCCGACGCAGCCCGGACCACCTCAGCCCCCGCAGCAGAGGCCTTACGGATACGACCAGGTGGGTTACTGGCCAGCGGTGACCGCCGCATTGCTTGCGCGTCCTTGATTTGGTTAAACATTTTTACTTGAAGCTCATTTTTCCTTCTCCTGTTCATAATACATGAGTTGACCAACAAAACCCACTTACTTTAACTCTATTTCCTGGACTGCTGGACAGGGACGCGGAATGCTGCTGACATAGAACGTTCTTCTCTGGGCACCAGCGTTCGTTCAGATTCTCCTTCCCCTTCCCCTTCCCATTCTCATCGCTCTCCCCTCCACACTTCTTAACACCCATGGTCTCCCTTCTGTTCACGTTCCTGCTTACACCTGCCTCTGCCTCTGTCCCTGCACATGTCCATGGTCTCAGGGCGCGATGAGCTTTCTTCCCTGTTGCCTCTCCTTCCTCCATCAGGTGGGTGGAGGCGTGGCTCTCACCGTCAGCGGCTCTCCTGAGCCCAGTGTCTGTGTAGGTCCCTCCTCCCAGCAGTGAGCTGCTCAGCCTCCGTCTGTGCCGGTCTTACTTTGTGAATCTTCTCAGACAGACTCTGAATTACAATAGTGAGGACTTGTTATGCTGGCCGCTTCTTGAGGTGGAGTTCAGGTTTGCTAGTGACTCTGGTAAGAATCATCTGGCCCAGGGGTCCTCAAACTTTTTAAACGGGGCCAGTTCACCGTCCCTCAGACCGTTGGAGGGCCGGACTATAGTTTAAAAAAAAACTATGAACAAATTCCTATGCACACTGCACCTATCTTATTTTGAAGTAAAAAAACAAAACGGGAACAAATACAATATTTGTATTTGCATGTGGCCCACGGGCCATAGTTTGAGGACCCCTGGCTTCTCTTCTTGAATTTACCTCACAGTTGTAGGCTTGTGCGTCACTGACATCACTGTCCTTTTAGAGGAGGGGTCCTCAAACTTTTTAAACAGGGGGCCAGTTCACTGTCCCTCAGACCGTTGGAGGGCCGGACTATAGTTTAAAAAAAAACTATGAACAAATTCCTATGCACACTGCACATATCTTATTTTGAAGTAAAAAAACAAAACGGGAACAAATACAACATTTGTATTTGCATGTGGCCCGCGGGCCGTAGTTTGAGGACCCCTGATCTGGCCTGTTCACCACGTAAGCCACTAGAGCAGGCGCTGTTTTCGGAAGTCTGGGTGTCAGGGCCCGCTGGTGGGTGAGGAACAGCTCGTACGGCGCTCGTCAGAAATGGAGGCGGGAGCCTTTCTCTCTCACTCATGCTCCAGCCCTTTGCTGACACTTCCCACTTAAGTGATAGAACAGAGGCCCAAGAGGCTGGCGCTGAGGGCGGGGACAGGCTGGCGCTGAGGGCGGGGACAGAGGCTGGCGCC